ATGAATATTTATTTTTGTGTCTTGTTCTGTCACTCAGGCTGGAGTGCAGTGGCATGATCTTGGCTCACTACAGCCTCCATTTCTTGGACTCAAGTGATCCTCCCATCTCAGCCGCCCAACTTGCTAAGACTACAGGCACACACCACTGCGCCTGGTGAATTAAAAAAATTTTTTTTTGAAACATGAGGTCTGTCTGTGTTTCCCAGGCTGGTCTTGAGCCTCTGGCCTTAAGTGATCCTCTCACGTCAGCCTCCCAGAGTTTCGGGATTACAGGTGTGAGCCACTGCCCCTGGCCTGTTTTTTTAATCATGTGATTTTTTTTAAATGGTGAAATTTATCTAACTATCTTTCTGAATTTTGGCTTCGGAAGCCTTTCCTTTCTGCGGAGGTTAAAGTATTCATGCTTTCTTGTACTATTCTCATGGCTTAACGTTGTCTTTGCCTTGGAGTTCATTCTGAAGCATGCTGTGAGGTCTGGATCTAATTTTATCTCCTTCCTAATGTGCCCTCAGGTTGCCCGGCACCACTTATTAAAACGCCCATCTTTGCCGTTTTTGTCACATACTAAATTTCCACATGCAGTTGGCCTGTTTCTGGAAATTCTACCCTGTCCCTTGCTCTGTTAATGCCTTCAGCACCTCCCATCTAATTACAGAGGCTTTTGCACATGTTTTAAGGGCTGGTGTGTTCTCAGTCTTTGTATGCATCAGAATGTTCCTCTTTGCCACCCCACTGGCAAGTCTTTCCCCTACAGGAATTTTAGAGTCAATTCGCCCAGTTTGCATAAAAGAAATTCTGCGATCCATTTTTATTGGATCGTATCAAATTTGCCTATCGACTTGGGTGATTGGGAGACTTTGAGGGTTGTTATCGGTTTAGATGTTTTTATCACCCCTCTAACTCATATTTTAGATTCGGGGGTAGATATGCAGGTTTGTGCCCTGGGTACACTGCGTGACGCGGAGGTGTGCAGTGCAAAGGATCCCGTCACCCAGATAGTGAGCATAGTGCCTGATCGTCTTCCAACCCTTGACCCATCCCTTCCTCACTTACTGTATTTCTCAGTGTATGTGGTTCCCATCTTTATATCCATGTGTCTTTGATGTTTAGCTCCCAGTAATAAGTGAGAACATGTGGCATTTAGTTTCCTGGTTCTGTGTTAATTCGTGTAGGATAATGGTCTCCATGTGCATCTATATGGCTGCAAAGCACATGATTCCATCCTTTTTAATGGCTGCATAGTATTCCATGGAATAGATTCACCACATTTTCCTCTATCATTTGACCCAGCAATGCCATTACTGGGTATATTCTGAAAGGAAATAAATAATTCTTCCAAAAAGACACATGCACTGTCTGTTCATCGCAGCATGATTCAGAATAGCAAAGACACTGAGTCATACCAGGCGTCTGTCAACACTGGATTAGACAAAGTTTGGATCTTTTGTTTTTGTTTTGAGACAGTCTCGCTTTGTCACACAGGCTGGAGTGCAGTGGCGTGATCACAGCTCACTGCAGCCTCAACCTCCCAGGCTCGCGTGACCCTCTGAACTCAGCCTCCCGGGTAGCTGGGATGACAGCCGTGTGCCACCATGCCTGACTCATTTTTTTGGTACCTTTTTTTGTTTTGTAGAAATAGAGCTTCACCATTTGGCCTAGACTGGTCTTGAACTCCTGGGCTCAAGCAATCTGCCTGCCTTGGGCTTCCTAAGTGCTGGGATTACAGGCATGAGCCACTGTGCCTGACCAGTTTGGGTCTTTTGAGAAACACACAGCAAGAAGGAAGGGGACAATTAAAAAAAAAACACTGAACTCTTGTAGCTGCACTTAGAAATGCAGCAAGGATCCATGCAGCTCTCCATGATGCTTTTATTTATTTATTTATTTAGAGATGAAGTTTTGCTCTTGTAGCCCAGACTGGAGTGCAGAGGCACAATCTCGGCTCACAGCAGCCTCCATCTCCCAGGTTCAAGCAATTCTCCTGCCTCCACCTCCCGAGTAGCAGGGATTACAGGCGCCCGCCAGCATGCCTGGCTAATTTTTGTATTTTTAGTAGAGGCAGGGTTTCTCCATGTTGGTCAGGCTGGACTTGAACTCCCGACCTCAGGTGATCCACCTACCCCGGCCTCCCAAAGCACTGGGATGACAGGCGTGAGCCACCGTGCCCGGCCGCTTTTTTGTTTGTGTGTGTGTTTGAACTGGAGTCTCACTACATTGCCGAGGCCACAGTGCAGTGGTGCAATCACAGCTCACTGCGTGTTTTCAGTCCCCACAGGCACCTCCAGGGCACCACTGTGGTGCCATGACATTCTCACCAAGACCAAGGGTATCCTTCCATTGGCTCAGCTCTACTTCTGTGTCTTTATAGCGGGGCTTGTTTCCTGAGACAGGTTTGCACGCTCTCGATTACCAAGGCTCATTTTCTGTTCCTGTTGTTCCTATGTTACAAGAAGGAGTGTCTCTTCTCATGCCTTTTCTGTTGTCTGTTGTTTTTGTATTTGTGGAAGCTATTGATATTTGCCTCTGAAGTCCCTGTCAGGCCACCTTCTGGAATTCTCTTCCTGGATTTGTTTAATGCTGATTTTGTTAGGTTTTTCCTGGCATACCGTCATATCATCTGCAAACCATATTTTCACTCTCCCTCCACAGTTCTTGTACCTGCTGTAGTTATTTGACCACACTGGATAGTTCTCCAATAACAAGTTAAATGGCAGGGTGCACTCCTGTAACCCCAGCTCTGTGGGAGGCCAAGGCGGGTGGATCACTTGAGCCTCGGGGATGAAGGCTGGTTTTGGCAACACAGCAAGACCCCATTTTTTACAAAAACAAAATAGTAAAAAATGACCGGGGTGTGGTGGCTCACACCTGTAGTCCCAGCTACTTGTGAAGGTGAGGATGGAGAATCACTCGAGCCCCGGAGGTTGAGTCTGCCTGCAGTGAGCCGTGAGCTTTCTTTTGAAGCTTATTCATAACTGGAAGGTGTGCGATCAGGAAAGTACTAGATTATTGCCAAACAGATCTGTGTATTTCGAGTGGACGGTATCGTATCCAGCAGAACCAAAGCTCCTTGAGGCAGAGAACATGTGTATGTTGATCTAATTTGTTTCCCTGTATGCTGGGCACAGAGTGTGGGTGCTGCTACACATATTTTATAAAACAAGAAGAGAAGGGTGGAAGATGGACGGAAGGAGGAAGAAAGGAAGGAAAGAAGGGAAGAAAGGAAAGAGTGGAAGAAGGAAGGAAAGAGAGAAGGAAATGAAGGAAAAAGTGAGAGAAAGAAGTAAAGATGAAGAAAGGGAGGAAGGAAAGAGGGAGGGAAGGAAGGGAAGAGGAGAGGAAAGAGGGGAAGAAGGAAGGAAAGAGTGAGAGAAGGAAATAAAGGAAGGAAAAAGTGAGAGGAAGTAAAGATGAAGGAACGAGGGAATAAGTAAAGAGGAAAGGAAGGAAAGAGGGAAGGAAATAAGGAAAGAGGGAGGGAAGGGCCGAAGGAAGAAAGGAAAAACAGAAGGAAGGAGGAAGGAAGAAAAGAGGGACAGAAGGGAGGACAAATGGAAGGAAGTAAAACAAATACAAATCCCCCTGAAAATGTGGATCACTTATGTTAACCAGAAATTCAAGTGAGATCTCCCGACACCTGTGATATCAGCAGCTGTGAAGCAACCTGTAGGAACCACGTCTCTTACTTCTGTGTTCTGGTGCTTGACTTCCAGGCCTTGTCAACCCTAGGGAGACTGCCCCTCCCGAAACCAGCGAACCCCCCAACCCACTTATGAGCCTGTCTTTCATATGCAGACCCACCAATCCAGAACCCACGCGGCACCTCTCTTCTTTACTGGGGCTGCATGCTCCACCTCACTCTGCAGCTGCCCTCATCAGCCACTTTCTCCACAGCAGCGTCGTCCTCTGTCGGGTCCACCATACGGAAATCATGAGGAAGTCTACGTTTTAAAACACAAATGAACAAACGTGTCCTGCTCAGTGCTGCCCTGAGAGCAGAGGTTATTTCAGGATCAGTGTATCCATTCCACCCACCTTTCTGCAGCTCACGTTCACGTTCACAGCGTATTCCAGAACCTGCCAGGGACTGACAGGGACTTTAGGAGGTGTTTTTTTTTTTTTTTTTTCCTGCACTGTCATTACTCGGGGCTAATCCACCTTAATACATTCATGCATCCCGAGCCTGTGGGAATTCAAGGGGAACAGGAACAGAAATAATTGAACTATCACTCCCTTTGGCATCGTGGGTCTCTTGAGGCTGAATTCTTACAAATATGTGCTTTGCTTTTAAACCTTACTTGGACCATTTTTTTCTTCATCTTTGTCAGTTTTCGCCCCACAACCCGACCGTGTGGCTATAGTGATGGGCGGGACAGATGGCATCGGCTACTCCACGGCGAGGCATCTGGCGAGACTCGGCATGCATGTGATCATAGGTGAGGACTTTCACAGTTAATCCTGTTTTTTTTGTTTGGCTGTTTCCCGAGACAGGGTCTCACTCTGTCATCCAGGCTGGACTGCAGCCGTGCGATCTCAGCTCACTGCAACCTCTGCCTCCTGGGTTCAAGCAAATCTCCCACCGCAGCCTGCTGAGTAGCTGGGTTTACAGACATGCACCACCCTGCCCGGCTAATTGTTGTATTTTTCGTAGAGACGGTGTTTCAGTATGCTGGCCAGGCTGGTCTCGAACTCCTGAGCTCAAGCCATCTGCCTGCCTTGGCCTCCCAAAGTGCTGGGATGACAGGTGTGAGCCACCACGCCTGGCAGTTAGCTGTGCTGTATATCTCATGTGAGCGACTCGGTTGTTCATTTAGAGATGTATGCAAACGTAGATTTACATATAACAATTCAGATCCAGGAAGCTCATCAGGGTGATGTTTAAACCTGGAAAACACAGGCAGCTGTAGCGTCCTCTTGGGAATAGATGCATGCTCTGCTTCTATATTGATGCTGTGTTGTTTTCACATGATTTACTGGGAAAAAAACGACATATCTTTATTAGTTTCCTAGAGGGGGCTCTAACGAAGTATCTCAAGGAGACTGGAGGTTGTTTAAAAAGCCAAAATTTATTTTTCACGATTCTGGAGGTTGAATTCACAGTGTGGGCAGGGCTGTCTCCTCCTGAGGCCTCGCTCCTGGGCTTGGAGGTGCCGTCTTCCCCCCGCGTCCTCAAGGGGCCGTCCCTCTGTGCATGTCTGTGTCCTCATATGCCCTTCTTATAAGGGCCCCAGTTCTATTAGATGAGGGCCCAGCTAGTGACCTCATCTCACCTTGGTCACCACTTTACAAACCCTAGTTCCAAACACAGTCACATTCTGAGGTCCTGGGGTTAAGGACTTCAATTTGAGAATTTTGTTCAAACACAAGCTCGTAACAGAATCTGAACAATTGTGTGGCATTCTTGCTTTCTCTGCACCTGTGCCCTATAGATACTCAATGTTTGATTTCTGCTGTTTCTGAACATGTCTCTAAAAGCTCTTCGTGATCTCTGACTCCTCTTTAAGCGTGACCTCTTCAGGTCTTCCTTCAACTGGGACAATGAGGACAGTTCAGATAACCCATTCTACGATGCTCGGCGTTCCCGGTCAGTTGCATAGCTGGGGAAGTGTCACTCGGCTAGCTTTAAAGCAGGAGTGGCAGGAAACAGACCTCTCCAACACCGAGCTGAGGAAGGAAGTGGCTTTTTATTCCGCCAGGAGCTGCGGGAGGGCTAAAGCCTCATTCACCAAGCTTCCCGAGAAGGAGCTTGTTTCCCCGTTTATAGGCTTACAACGCTGAAGGGGAAACTGAGGCAAAACTATGTCATTGTCCATAGGCTGGACGTCAGACCTCACAATCTTTTGGCTTCACTGACTTGCTAGTTTCTACGCAGCGTGACCGGGAACAGGCAGGGGAGGGGGCTTACAGGGACAACACAAAGGCAGTAAATTATCAGCTGGCAGAGCGGGTGTGGGTCGTGCAGACGTGGAGGACGAGACCCAGCGCCGGGCTCCGGCTGGTGGCAACTCTTTCGAGGCTTATAGATAGCAGAGATGCTGAGAACCGAAAACCCTGTCCTCTTCCCAGTCCCTGGGCCTCTTCATGGCCTGGCCAGTGGCGTCAGGAAGTCCCCTGATCACGGATTCAAGCTCTTCAGTATTTTTTTTCTTTTTCACCCTCCTTCCCATCCGGAGTGGAGGGGAGGTAGGAGGTGGAGACCAGGAAGCTGGGGGATGCGAGGGCGTCTCACCTAAATGA